TGGACTTACGCCCTATCCTTCAGCTGCGTTGCTGGATTTATCATCATCGTTCTCAACCAGTTCCAAGACCAGCTCGTTTTCTACGTGACCCCAACGGATGCGTTAGCAAAGTACACCGCGAACCCCACCAGGTCAAAGTTCAGGCTCGGCGGGCTGGTATTGGAGGGCAGTGTGGGGCAGATTCCTTCATCTCCAGAGATGGAGTTCGTGGTGACCGACTTAATAACTGACATTTTGGTGAGATACGAGGGATCGCTGCCGGATCTTTTCCGGGAGGGTCATTCTGTTGTTGTCGAGGGGTTTATAAAGCCGTACACAGAAGAGATGAAGCAGAAGGATGAGGGGATGCTGAGAGAGAACAAGTCCATGATCACAGAGAAGGCCAGAAGTGGAAACTGCTATTTTGAGGCTTCAGAAGTGCTGGCTAAGCACGATGAGAAGTATATGCCGCAAGAAGTTGCTGCTGCCTTGGAGAAGAATAAGAAAATGCTAGAGCAGCAACGGAAGGAGGAATGCGGGAGCGAAGCCATACCCAATGTGGAAAGGGAGAGCAAAACTATACCCAAAGTGGAAAGCCGGAGCGAAACTATACCCAAAGCGTAAAGGGATTAATCATGCCCTCAGTCACAGGTCTGATATTTTTCTTTACAACTGAACTCTTTAGCACTTCATTGGACATGTATGTTTATGCTTGATTACAGAGTGCTGTTTTTTGACATCACAGTTAGGGAGATCAAAGAAGAGATATCGGCAAATTTTATAAGACAGGAATTTATTTTGGTGTTGTTCCAGGTGTGTGTTTGTTCTAAAGAAAGTACAACCTATTGTATTGCCCCTATAAGATGGTGTGGGCTACAAAATACGTACTGATTTTGGCCAAGTTGCTAATAAATGAATTACGATTCTAAGGATTGATTGTTGTTCTCGTGTACTTGATTATATATGCATTACTGACTATTTCTTTTATTAAACATTTGAAGAAAAATACTCTCCTGTTCCACATTAAACATCACACAATCTAAATGGGAAGGTTGTTCGTGTTCACCACGTGATATTCATAGTTTTGTTTTGGGACGGATGGTGTGTTATTTAATTTTATTAGTGTTGTAGTCTACAATTTATTAGGAAATGATCAGTTATTCGTTGTGATTACTTGTGAGTGGTCTCTGATACTTCTAGATTGAGTTTTGAAGACAGTTGGTGAAATTTTCAAGGCACGGGCTGCTGTAAGGGAGTGTCGAAGTGGTAAAATCCCAATCTATTAACCAAAATGTTCATGAAAATATGCCCCTTCCCTGCTTCTCCATTTTTCTTGTCCTTAGAATTTGCAGGAAAAGGCTGGAAGATGAAAGCGCTTCACTCTTTATGTGGCAGGCTTTTTACTTATTCATTTCAAGTGATCATGGAAGAATATACACCTGTTCTAAAATAAATTTTACACTTTCTTTTTTTGTTGTTCTCACAATAAACTTTACAAAAGCCACTGCCACTCTTCAATGCTCCATTCGTAAAATTGATGATTCCTACCCCCTAACCATCTTGGTAAACCTCCTCACCGAGTTCTGACCCTAACCCATCTCCCACCATGACAATTGCACCCCGCAAGTTTAGTTGACTTTAAATTCAAAATTTTTTACTTTAAAGTCAACTAAATTTGCCGGGTGCAATTGACATATATGGGTGGAGGGATGGGTTGGAGTCGGGACTGAGCGGAGGGTTTACTGAAGGAGAGGGTAGGAAGCATCAATTTTACGAGCAGAGAACTGTAAGTATCCGATTCAGAGCAGTGACTTCCTTGACCACTAAAAGCAGTGTCCATGGATCCGGTCCGTAAATCGGCTAGGTTCAATGGCCACTCATTTTGAGTGGCCTAACAACTGCGTTATTAAAAATTAGAATTTATGAAAACTTGTAAATTTGTTTTACATCTCAATTGACTCAATCATATAAAAAATTGAACAACCGAACTAGCCCAGAACTGGTACCGGAACTATTGGTTCTGGAATTGGGACATCCGGCACCGATAACGGTCACATATGGTGGCGGTAATAGAACCATCGGTTCCAGAACCGTACCAAAACGAAAGACTAATATCTTAAAATTGAGGACTAAATATGAAAACTCACTAATTATTTTAATCACCTTTTATTAAAACGATTCAAAATTAGGACTTGTTCTCTTTACATGATATGATTGGAATAAAGTTTGATCTGATTGTAGTTATATTTAAAGATATATTTAATCTGATTTGGTCTGGTATAATCTGATTATAGTTATACTAAAAGATTTTTCTAAA